CTTGCAATTATTGTAAATCAAGTAACAAGCAGTTCTAAGGCCCTGTGTGTCTGTAGCTTGTTAAGCTCAAATATGATTTTGTTTTTTAAAACATTTTTTTATTATTTACCGTTTAGCAGGTGTTAGCCTGTAAATTTCTTCATTCTCTTTGATAATCTGTTCCTTCTAACGGGTCTCTGTATCTTTTTTCTTTTGCTAATCTTACTTGCTCCTTTTAGATTTTTTTTTTATTTGTCTCTATTTGAGTCTTCTCTCTAGTTGCTCTGAAACAGTGGTTCCTTGCCGTTCTCTGCATTGCCCCGACTGACCGTGTTTTTCACCAGTCGTACCTCGGAATGGTATGTTGTCACTGTCTGTTGCAGAAGAGAGTTCTGTTTGTTCTGACATCATGTCTTACAGTTCAGCACAATGTCATAGGGAGATCCCAACTTCTGATTTCCAGGTTGATTTAGGAGCACATAACCTGCACTTACCCCCTTCTACGCTCTCTGCTTCATTCCCATCAAGTGTAGGAGGCCATACAACGTCTCCCACAGCTTTCTCCAGCTGTAGAATAAAACGCTCTGTAGAATAACAGTGTGTGTTGGAGGGAAAGGTGTGTCACCTTTGATCTTGATTACAGGCACAGAAATGTTCTTTCTATGTTTAGTTCCCACTGGCAATCTCCCTTACAGTTTATGCCAGCCATCTGGCTTTGGTCCAGATACAGTCATTTCCTCTCAAAGCATGAGCCTCTTCAGAAAGTTTCATAGTCCTTGAAGCAGTTCATTCTTTGGATCTCTAGGACAGATCATGGAAAAAGGTGCTGTGTATTAAAAATATTTTTCAAGGGGAAGGACAGGAGACAGGTCTGCTAACATGCATTTTTTTGTCAGTCTGTGTACTGAGTGCGAAGCGGTGTGTTGCTCATTACATATTTGGAAAATTTTAACTTAAAATTCCCTAGAAGTTGGAGCAGCTCTCTTTTTAGATAATGTTCGAAAACAGTGACTGTTTGACTTCCTTGTTCATTAAATGTCTGAGGAGCGTGCTTTTGACAAAAGTCTTTGTATAGCTTATAAGAATGAGAGAGAAGTTGATACTGCTTGTGTCTAGTTAGTGTTAGTCCTAAGCATGGACTACAGCTGCAAATTCATCTATTGGGTGAGCTATGAAGTAATTATGTTTTTTCAGTTTTTAGGTTTTAACTGAAGTAGCAATGTGCAGCCAGCTTAGAGAGGAAAAGTTCACGGTAGCTAATTTTAGGCATCTAATTTAGATGTTCTGGATCTCTTTGCATTCTCCATTACCTAAACAGAGAGCCCAGGCGTTGATATCGGTGTCAGTTAGAAATACCTATTATGAATCCTTTGTGGGTTTAAATTATTTTGCAGGTATAAGCTTGCAGTCATCGCAGAATCCTAACAAATTTTGGTCTCTGTCATCCTGTCCCCCTTTGCACCCCAGTATAACTAGCCCAGGAGGCTTTGGAGGTTATAGAACTTCAACAGATTTATGACAGGAGTTTTGTGATACAGGGAGGTTAATATTCAGCAGTGAGCTAAAAGGCTTAGAGCATTTACACTGAATTTTGAAACATCTATCAAGGCTTACAAGACAGTCTCCTGAGTCCCTGAGAATGGTTTCCGCTACATTATTATAAAGATGGATATTTGTAGCCTTCTAATGTGTTGGGAGGGTGTTTACTACCTGTGAAAGTGCTTAGTGCTTTTAAATTTGGGGATTCTACAGAATCATAATTTAGTTGCTAGCAATCCTTTTAATATACTAGCTTTGAAAACAGCTAGGAGTTTCCTACTCTGTATATAGACTGTAACTTAAGTTAGAACTCCTTTCCAAAAGTGAGGCTAAAAATTAATTTTTCATGTCTGGAAAGAAATATTGCCAGACTAATATCTTATTGTAAAGCCATAGGTCTTGCTGGTCTCCATAGTTACAGGAGGAAAGTTTACTTGGCTACTTCCAGAACAGAGAGTCCTAGCCACACTGGAACAAAAATGGAGGGAAAGTTGGACAAACCTCTCTGTTTCTGGAAAATCATAATTACAAAGGTGTCTTGTGTATGAGAAGAGTGCATTAGGATGCTGTACATGAGCAAATATCATGATAGTTTGTCTTTCCTCACCCTTTTGTACATTTCATTGTGAGTTATTTTGCTAGTGTGGAGAAAAGGCTGGAATATTCAGCTGGGAAATAAGACTGGTGCTTGTACACATAAGAAAAAGATATGACATATAATAAAAAAGCTTTAAAAATTCCAAAGTTAATGAGATGATTAAGAACCTGTAAAGGCTTGCTTTGTTTTTTTCTAAAAGTTTTAAGCTGACTTGGAAATAAAGAGTGAATGTAGATGGGTAAAGTATGTTGAGCAGAACACAGTGATTGGTTTGGAATGAATTTGGTGGTTTATCTGTAGTCTCTTTTTTTTTTTTTTTTTTATTTTACCTGCTTTGAGATAGTATAGTGCTGAGGATACTGGATGGAATTATTTTGGGGATCTATATGCTTCAGTTAAACACGCCTATAGGGAAAACTGGTTTTAATTCATACTTTTATATATAAAAAAAGTATGGTGGTGTTAAAAAAAAAAAAAGAGTTGATTCATCATATTCCAAATGTTTTAACTTAAACAATATTTGAAGAAAGTCTCTATATTTTTGTCCTGATGTGCCCCTTCCACTTACCTATTTCCATATAGCATGTTGGTGATAGATGTTGGCATGTTGGCGACATACTATTGCAGTGCTGATTTAAAATTTCAAGCTGCTTTTTCCAGTTGGTACTCAATTAGGAAAGAGAGGCATTCTCCACTGGCATGATCATTTTACCTATGAATGTTGTTTACCCTCTTCTCCCTGTGCTTTTTGTTTAAAACCATAGAGTTTGGGTAGAGTCTGTGTTTTAGCATGTTTCCACAGTTCTTAAGGTAAAGGAACCCAAGATTATATTTGGCCAGGTAGCACTGCTAGTAAATAATAGCTGTGTCGGACAAATGATGTTGACTTTACATGCAAAATGGCGCACAGTGTATTTTGAGTAAATAATTCAGTAAGTACTTTGATAGTGTACATGGGAGAAATTCATTTCCCTTTCTGAAACTAAATGGAAAAGTGGTTTTTGTGACTTACTTTGAAAGAATTGCATATGTTAAGGAGTCATTCAATTCTGCTAGGATTTTTACTGACGTCTCAAAGGGTAAAAATTATCCGAGCTAGAATGGCTTTCAGATTTTTGTGGTAGTGGAATTTTAGTTTTGCTACTGATAAAGCTTTGTAACTCAAGGGCTACTTCATGTTTGAGTACTGAAAATGTCATAAAATTACTCTATCAAGTCACTTCACTGATTGCTTACCTCATCAGTTCCTTTCTTTTTTCCTTAGTTTACTACTTTCCCATGGTGTCTCTTGAAATGCCTGGGTTTTTTTCCTGTGTATAACTGAGTGATAATGGGATGTAGGAATTTTTTTGTTCTAACACTATTGTCAATCTTAGAGTAGAATTTAATTAAGATTACATCTCCATCTAGTTCACTAGCTTTCTCATTTTAGTACAAAATTCTTTGCTTATGTCATGATATTTGGTATTTGTAACTATAAAATCTCTTAGCCAGCCACCCATTTGTAATGGCTTCTAATTCATACATTCACACAATTTAGGCAATGAATCTCAATTATCATACATCTTGTTTTCCTCATGATTGTCAGGGAGGAAGAGTGAGTTTGCTTTAAAACATTTTCACGGTTACTGTATAGATATGTTATACAGATTGTTATGAAAGGGCCTTATTTAAGTTTGTTTTCTTTCTTAAGAAAATTAACAAAAAGCTTTACACGGACCAGCTCATACACTTTGTGTGTATGTAATAATTCTTTGCCTGTCTGAGGACCTAAGCAGGATATGAGACATTACATCAGAGAAATGTGACAAGCTTTGGAAAAGTGAAATAGTGTATCAGGTTGACAAATTTTTTCTTATCTGTCATAGAAAGTATATTTAAGAAATGGTTAAAATTACATACAAGGTACCCTGTACATTCTTTTGACTTGCTTGGGGTAAAAAGTTTGAACAGGATTCACTGGGAAATCGGTGAGCTAGAAACTGGTCTCTTTATAGCCATCTAAACCATTTGTCCATCATCTCTTGAGTCCCGTTTATTTATAGTATAGGAAGGACAGGGATTAATATTGATAATCTAGTTTTAGTGTATCAATAACCTGAGTTTTCCTTAACCTTGCAAAGAGAGGAACAGAGGTCCCATTCACATGCAAGTTGACAGATCTTGTGTCATTGTTTAAACTTTTTTAAACTTAAGCATTTTGCTTCTTGTTTTAACACTGAGGTTCAGTGAAATGCTATTGCTGTGCTCAGTGTATAGGTATAGTTTTGACAAAGTGGATCTTTATGGTAAGTGGAAATACGTAGCTTTTCTATTTATATTTTTTGATTGAACAGACATTGTACCACTCTGTAGTCTTAAGTTTTTTATTTACATATATGTGTGTTTAAAAATACATATTAAAATACATATATTTAAAGATGTGTATGTGTATGTATATGTATCTTAAGATTTTATCAGTGTTGTGCTACTAGAAGCTCATAATTCTAAGGCAATTTCTAAAGTAAGAGATCATTTAGTACTAGTGAAACCTTTATAGCATACGCTATTTTCTGTAGGTAACTACTTATTCCTGTAAACTCATTTTAGCAATTTGGAGAGGGGAAGGATTGTTTGGGGGGTTTTGTGTTTTCAATACTTTCTACATAGTCTGTTATGGAGGCAAATAGCCACGTACCAGAAATTGTCTACAAAATGTGGAATTGGTGCAAAGAGAATAGGGGGATTAATTTTTATTCTGACTGTGTTCATAGTGAAAAGCCAAAGAGTTTGCTTCTTAATTACTTGGAAGGGAGTCAACAATGAAGGGTCAGGTTTGCAAAGAGCTCTGTGGTTGATGACTTGAGAACTTGTGAAGTGGTGGTTGCTGTAGTTGGGTGGCACGATGGCAGGTGAGGATCACTGTGAATGGAGAGGGAGATGAGCTAGAGAGAGTGGTTAGAAACTAGCAATTTGGTTAATTTTTAAAAGTAGGTCAACTGAGGAAAGATTGGTGTTTTCGGTATGGAGTACATGCAGAAAGGGTGTGGGTTTTGTTCTAATGTTTTGGGTCTGTTGAGGATTTGGATTAGCCATCATCCTGTTCTTTACCAAAATGGAATCTTCTCATAACCTTTTAAAGAAAGATGAATATAAAAATAGACATGTCCAGAAGCAGGTTAGTAATGCAATTTTAAAGGCTCGGATAAATCCATAGAAAGATTTTTTTTTTTTAAATAATTTTTTTAATCAAAAAAGGTAAATCATGACCTCTATGCACTAGGAAAAGAATGTTTCAAGGGCAGCTGTTAATAAAAGAGGAAATATGAATTATATATTGGGAAAACTGATTAGACTTCGTACTCACCTTCCTCATAAGAGTGGGGGATTATTGAAAGGAATTTAAAAGATAGCACATCAAAATCAATACAGGAAAGTAGTTTTCATCTGGTCACCAATTGCAAACTCTGAAACTAATTGATATCATATACTTCAAATCTTACAATTTTTTATACCTGCATAATATAATGAAATATTTGCATGGCTAGTAAGCAACAGTATGGATAAATGTTTACTTACGATTTTATGCCGAGTGGTTTGTTGGTTTTGCTACCATATGCCTAAAACCTGTGACAGACGTTTATAGCCCCTTATCTCTCTGCCCCTTGGTTAGAAATTGTTTAATGGCAATTATTTCTTTATTGCCACCTCCAAAGATTACTTGTGGCGTGCAGTGGTTAATAAATACTGGTTGTTTTCAAGGTTCAGTCCCAAGGGCACTTAAGTCAGTTTAAACTGGAGGTCCTGCCATCTTTTCCTTTGCTCTCCTGTTCCTTCAGCTGCAATCATCCTTGCCTCTTGTTTATTGTATACATGCTGATGCTTCTGCACAGAGTTGGTTCAGGAAGCTCTACTTGAAGAATTTTCCTTCTTTCTTCCTTTCTTTTTTTTTTTTT